GACTTGGCATCCATAGAATTATAATTTCTTTATCGAGTATTTTCAAATTTCTCATTACGTAAAGGATTTGTAGAATTAACGGGTTTTTAATTTTGGTATTTTTTATTGCTTAAAGACATGATAGCGAATCTGAACATATAATAAACTTTGATTTGTTAGAAGTAGCAATAAATCGTACGGCCATAATTATCACCTTAGCTTCTGCAGTAAAGATGGAAGAAAGAAGGTAAGCGGAGAGTTGCAGCTCTCTCACCAAAGACAGCAGCAGACGACACTCGGTCTCCATCCTGCGATCCATCAGTATAAACGGTTGAAAAATCGGATTTGCTGGATTTTATTTCAGCATATTAAATGTTGCTGAATTAAAAGAGGATTTGTGTCAGCCTTATTGTATTTACGGAGATCAAATATCATTTTTGGTTTCGGAAGTTCCTATGGGGGATATTTACAAGTTTGAACTGGAGCAACAGATTTCATATTAAAGGTATTTAAATGTGCTTTTAAACAGAAAATGAAAGGATATGGAGTAAATGTATTTTAAACGTATTCATAATGGAGGAATTTTATTTTCATGCTTTTCAAAAACATCTTCATAAATGGAAATGAAAACACAATTGTAGGCAGGGTTGGTCTGGAAATGCCTTAAGCTTGACAGCATACTGAAGTCCAAGCTTCAGACGTATATGAGTGAGCGAAGGCTAGTCGGCCCCACATATACACTCTCAACTGATGAGGTTTTAAAGGCACCAAGACACAGACGAAGACCCTGGTTATGCACAACATCGAGAATATCTATGTATGATTGATTGATTGATGTTGGTTGCTTAACGTCCAGTGGCAAATATTTCATGCATGTTCCTGAACATAATAACAATAAATACAATTGGTAGGTTCCGTAACAGAGGCGTCTGGGATTAAGGTCGGAGAAATTTAGACTGCCACAGGAAATGAGGGTATATTGGATAGGGACTGAAATATAGCCTTGCAACAGGCCACTTCGGACCCCTCGAAGAGTTGTTGCAAGGGTTCTTAACGTGCAAAGAGCGTGGCACTCTCTTTACACGTGGCATCGGATTTAACGTCCCAATTCTGACCGGACGTGGCTGCAAATCTGTACATCCCGCACAGCAAAACGGACGCCCCACTTCAGCGAGGATTTTACTTCCGGTCGGAGGAAGAACAATTTTACTTCCGGTCGGAGGAAGAACAATGGTAACCATACTTCTATTCTCCAGTCACCCTTGGGGGTATCTATGTATGACTTCCTTGCGGGACCATACACTATGGATCAATAATCTAGTTTAGACCGAACGAGTGATATATATAAATTTAATAAAATGTTGCGATCAACACCCCAGTCAGTGCTAGCCACAGTAAACACATCTGGAAACAGAATTTAAATTAATACGATTTCACCACAAAATGTACCTCATAAGAGTAAAACATCTTTAATAGACTATTGAATAACCCTAAAAATGGAAAACATCTTACTAAAATATAAGACCATATTTTTTCAATTTGTTTATATTGAATATTGCTTTAAGGAAAAGTTTACGTAATTGCACGCCTCTAGCGGAATGAGGGAAATAAAACGTGCGTCGTTTGGGCAATTCATTCAACAAATATGCATATGCTATAACAAAACGTAAATGAAATGATCAAATTGACGTCAATCAGAACTCTGAGGTTGCTATTGAAAGAGGACCTGGCCCCGTTAGCACTGACACCGCTTCGGACATACCGGAGACCGCATAACCGTATGACTGGACAGCTGGAAGAAGGGTTGTGGAATTTTTACATTTGGCAGATCAATTGAAATCTTGTAAAAATTGTTCTTTCCCACTGATATTATACATGATCTGTGATGAAAAAAGACGCGGGTTGGGAAGTTTCCATTACGTCCAGTGTGTAAATTGCCTATATATTAACACAGTAACAACAGGGAAACAACATCGACAGACAGGGGAAGATGTTGGTGTTGGTGTTTGATATCAACACAAAGCGGAGTTTAGGTATATATATTTATGCAATTGTAAATTTAAGCACATGTTCCATATTTTGATAAAAAAAAAACTAGAGGCTCTCAAGAACCTGTGTCGCTCACCTGATTCTACTTTGGTTTTGGAAATCAGTAGCAGTAGCAACACTTAATCAGCACCTCATAAGAAACATTTATGCCATGTTTTGGTATCATTCCATTCAGTGCACCTCTAGAAGAAGCATTTGTATGTATTTCCCATAGGGTCTTATGTTAAAGGAAGTCCCCCCATTGGCGGCCATCATGGATGAATGATCAGCTTCAAAGTAACAAAACTTAGTCAGCACCTCATAAGGAACATTCATGCCATGTTTGGTTTCAATCCATTCAGTATGTGGTTCTCTAAAAGAAGACATTTGTATGTATTGTCCATAGGGTCCTTTGTTAAACATTGTCCCCATCTGGCAGCCATCATGGATGAAGGATCAGATTCAAAGTAACAACACTTGGTCATCACCTCAAAAGTAACATGCATGCCATGTTTAGTTTCATTCCATTCATTGGTTCTCTAAAAGAAAACTTTTGTACGTATTTCTTATAGGGTCCTATGTTAAACTAAGTCCTCCGCTGGCGACCATCTTAGATTATGGATCGGCTTCATAGTAACAACACTTGGTCAGCACCTCATAAGGAACATTCATGCCATGTTTGGTTTCATTGCATTCAGTGGTTCTCTGAAAGAAGACATTTGTATGTATTTCCCATAGGGTCCTATGTTAAACTTAGTCCCCCACTGGCTGCCATCTTGGATGATGGATCAGCTTCAAAGTAAAAACACTTGGTCAGCACCTCATAAGGAACATTCTTGCTATGTTTTGTTTCATTCCATTCAGTGGTTCTCTAAAAGAAGACGTTTGTATGTATTTCCCATAGGGTCCCATGTTAAACTAAGTCCCCGCTGGCGGCCATCTTGGATTATGGATCGGCTTCAAAGTAACAACACTCGGTCAGCACTTCATAAGGAACATTCATGCCATGTTTGGTTTCATTCCATTCAGTGGTTCTCTAAAAGAAGACATTTGTATGTATTTCTCATAGGGTCCCATGTTAAACTAAGTCCCCTGCAGGCGGCCATCTTGGATTATGGATCGGCTTCCAAGTAACAACACTCGGTCAGCACCTCATAAGGTACATTCATACCATGTTTGGTTTCATTCCATTCAGTGGTTCTCTAAAAGAAGACATTTGTATGTATTTCCCATATAGTCCTATGTTAAACTAAGTCCCCCGCTGGCGGCCATCTTGGATTATGGATCGGTTTCAAAGTAACAACACGCGGTCAGCACCTCATAAGGAACATTCATGCCATGTTTGGTTTCATTCCATTCAGTGGTTCTTCTAAAAGAAGACATTCGTATGTATTTCCCATAGGGTCCTATGTTAAACTGAGTCCCCCGTTGGCGGCCATCTTGGATGATGGATCCGCTACAAAGTAACAACACTTGGTCAGCACCTCATAAGGAACATTCATGCCATGTTTGGTTTCATTCCATTCAGTGGTTCTCTAGAAGAAGTTCAAAATGTAAAAAGTTAACGCCGACGACGGACGACGGACGCCAAGTGATGAGAAAAGTTCACTTCGCCCTTCGGGCCAGGTGAGCTAAAAAAGAAAGAATTTACCAAGGAGGCAATTGTAAAATGTAAAGTCGAGAAGAACGATATACGACGCCATTCCAAAAAGAACAAAGACGACCAAAAAAGTCATATTATACTACACAGTCCCTCAAGATTGAACACAAAGACGAAATCCACTCTTATATCTATTGTAGATAAGTGAAAAAACTACGTTTAGTTTTATCAACGGAATGATATTTTTTTTGTGCAGAAACTAAAAAGGTGTTTTCTATTCCGTCCGTATTTTTTTAAAAAGAAAAATCTAAATTTAGATTCGTAGTTAAAACTAAAACTACACCTGTTTGATAAAAATGGAATATGACATTTCTTTTTATGATAATTTTTTAAATTCAAATTTCGAAGGGGTAGCGAAAAGTATAATAACAAAAATACTAAACTACGAAAAATTCAAAACGGAAAGTCCTTAATCAAATGGCAAAATCAAAAGCTCAAACACATCAAACGAATGGATAACAACTGTCATATTCCTGACTTTGTACAGGCATTTTCTTATGTAGAAAATGGTGGATTAAACCTGGTTTTATAGCTAGCTAAACCTCTTACTTGTATGAAAGTCGCATAAAATTCCATTATATTGACAACGATGTGTGAACGAAACAAACAGACATAATCATACCACATCTTCTTTTTTATATTTACTGCAGGGTTTGTTACTCGTGCTGTGTGGTTGCAGTAGAATGTGTCCCCGTGCCTATAGTGTATGCCCTTATATTTTTACAGTCAGGGTTTTTTTGCTTGTGAGAGAGCTGTCTACATATTCCATTATCATGATTATTGTACTATTTCTTTTACTGTATTTTTATCCTGCCCCCTTCTATGGTTTTACTAAGAGTTCTTATATCTTCCTGTATTTGCCTTTTAATAGGTCCGGGACACAATTTTGTTCATACACATTTCAATTTTATTTCCCTATATTTTATGCATAATATAGTAATATGGAGTTTAAATTACATATATAAACAGTTTATAATAATTTGTACGTGTAGGTACATTACGTACATTAGTGATGGATAGAGCAGGTGCTAATTTTTGTTAAAATATTTTTGTTGTTTTCTGTTTTAAATAAATTCACTACGTCATAACTGTTTTCTCGGACCACTGTTTGTTATATGTCTGTCATTTTTTCGGGCTGTTAAATATAGTTTTTATAAGAATTCTTCGACTGTTTTATAAATAGGAATCATTCACGACTTTTCACGCGTGGCGGCGCTGCGGTTCCATAAGTGGTTACTTGAACGCTTCAATCACGTAAAACGCTTGCATCTGTATTTACAACGTAAACAATGGCATCCGATGGTTACAATACCTGGTCTGTTCCAAAACTAATGTTACGTGGAGCTGTCACAAGAGACAGAAATATAGATCTTATAGAAAGGTAAACGATGTATTTAAAAAATATTGAGATTTCTTCTATTATAAGCGGAAACGCCGTTACAGTACATTGCCAAAAAGCTTTCGTCACCTACATTTTTGGGCTATATATTTCATATAAAAAGACGTGTATTGGAGGCATTTATGGTTGTATTTTTACAAATAATGTGTTGAAAAACGCTGAATTGTATATAAAGAGTATTTGTTTGTTTTGTCATAGCTCTGTCATCAGTTGTTTTTCTTTTCTCCTGATGTGAACACATATACTACTTTTTACAATTTAATTTGGTTGAAATATTAATATATAGCAAGATTGTTTATAATAGACAATAATATTTATGTTTATCTCAGAAGAAAATGAAAATAAACAAATAATTATTCTGCTGTTGGTACCAAGTTGCATAAAATCAAATCAGAAATGTCCCCTAAATAATCTTTTGAAATGCAATTTTATATGAAATATTTAGTGTGAAATACCAAGTGACAAATACATCATCACGGTACCCCAAGTAAGAAAAAAAAAACAAAATAAAAACCCCACTGAACATATAAATAGTCATGAATATATAATTAAACTTTCTAGGATACATCTAAATGATTTTGTATAATAATAATTAAGAATAGGGGTTCTATACAGATATTATCTGTTGGCCATGAAATGTGATACAGACCATGCAGACTGGGCAAGTTACGGGAAAATTAAATTTAACTTGTTATATACTGGGACTATTATACTAATAGTCTATTAGTCCCAGTTATAAGATAAGATAAGATAAGATATTTTATTTCCAATTATGGGCCCCAAAGGGCATAAACATTACAACATCAATAATTTTTCATAATACAATACAAACAATGAGATAAAAAAAAAAAGAAAGTTAAACGAGAACTATTTAAGTTCTTAAAGAATACGTAGATAAAGAATCTATAGTATGTTTTTTTTTAATACTAATGCATTTTATTGCAAGTGTGGTTGATATAGATAACAAACAAGCAGCCCAAAAAGAAAAAAAGAAAAATAGATATCCATATACGTATAGTACACAAAAAGTTGGATCAATTAAACATATAATAATTAGCCAAAAAGAAAGTAGGAATTAAGCATGTCCATGACTCATCCTGTGTCAGCAGCAAATAGGAAAGCATTATGGTTTCCTAAAGGCAGCTGACACCAGGGGGCGATACCTTATTGGCCATAGGCATGTAAAATGTGTGTAAATGTCTCTTTCCTACCTGTATCAAAAGCAAACAAGGAAGCATCATAGGTAACTTGAATGCAGTTGATACCAGGGGACGATGCCTCAAGGATATAAGAGAACATTTGAATAAATAATATATCTTAACAATTATTTTTTTTTTTTTAATCGGCTAGTATGTTTATATATAAACAATTTATCACTTTTGAAAATGGGACAATTACACAAGGAAAGTATTAAATCCTCCCAATACCACTTTTAAACAAGACATGATTCTACATTTTTAAGCTTTAAATCTTTTAATATGTCTCAGCTTCATCAACTTAAAAAAAAAGACAATGTAAAAAAAATATAAATGCCCTTCTCTGCAAACTTTTTACATATAACATGATGGGGCCATTTTTGGAAATTTTAAAAGATATGTACATCTATAATGAAGTTGTATTTGCAATTCAAGTTCAAACAAGGAATTATTTAAATATGGAATAATTTCAAATTCTGCAAAATTGATTAGAACATAATTATGAAAACTAAACCCAACTAAATATTTTTTAAACTTAGAAATGTGGTCCCTATACATGTAATTCTATGTCCTTTTTGAATCCTATCTGTTCTTGGCAGATAATCTTATAAGATTCTAAATAGTTTTCTAAACTATTATACTCTAGAAAAAAATGTTCCTAAACTAGTAAAAAGGGTTATACCTCTGTTGTTTGAAAGGGCTATTAAAACGTCTTCCTTTGAATATGGGTTAAATAAATTTTCTCTCCAATAAGAACTTCTTGCTAGAGAGAAACTTTTATTAATTTTTAAGAAAAAAAGTAGTGTTTTATAATTTTATATACATATCATGCCCAACATTCAGCATACAAGAATTTTTCAAAATTTCATTAGTTATACCATTAAATCCACATGATATCTTGTTTTTCAAATATTTCATGGCAAGCAGAATTTAATCTATGTAATAGTACTTTAAAAAATCTTTACCTACATGTTTTAAAAAAATTCAAACCATTCCTTAGCTTGTTTAATTAAACTTTGGCTGGAACATACATTAAATATTTGTCACTGGACATTAAGATTCCAACAATCAATCAATATATTTGAACTTGAATCATTGATTTCTTTCTTTTTTGTCTTGCCTTGACAGAGTCCAAAAGCAAGACATAGCATATATTAGGTATGCTGTTTTCAGCGTCATCAACAATGTATTAGTTAGTAAAGTAATATAAAATAGTGAAATATTGCAGACATTTTCTACTGGTAGATATTTGTAACCATGAAAGACAATATATTCATTATACAGTTTTCATGATTAATCGCACAGGCACTTGTCTCAGAAAAAAATTTCCTATATACCTTAATATAACACGTGTTAAAGGAAATTTTTTTCTGAGACAAGTGCCTGTGATTAATCGCTAGCCCTTCAAGGCCAGGCCAGATAAATTCTTTGTAAGTATAGATAATTGTTAATGTGTCAATCCTAGTCAGGAGCCTTTAATTTAGTAGTTATAGTTGGTTAATTTCTTATATATATACATATATATTTGTTTTTTTATTGTCTTATTTTATAATTTAAAATCAAGCCATTAGTTTTCTTGTTTGAATTTTCTTTCATTTTTGAATGTTGTGACCTTTGTAGCTGACTAGTACAATGTGATTTTTTGTTGACTGTATTTTATTTAATATTTTGACTTTTTTTTTATCTTTTGTAGAATCAATTAGAAGAGCCAAAATTTATAAGCTTAGATTCAAAACATTCTGGAGGAGCAGATTGTGTGAAGGTATTTATCCTTTTATAGCCGCAATCTGTATCACAAAAATGTATTTGTGTTATAATATACAATTACCATTAAGAGAGTTGATTTTTTGTAATACCAAATAAAGGTTACAAGTCCTAATCTCAGTTGGGAAAATGGTACTGTACAGTTTTATTTTAGTACTGGTGAACTCTACCGTTACAGACTCGTATGATAATAATACACCTGAAACTCCATAGATGAACGTGTATATCTTCCGAATCCAGCCACACTGGTTAGATGTCGCTTTTCAATATAAATTTTTATGAAACCAGACTGGATTAAAATAAAATTTTCTTGTGTAATTTGATGAAATTTAAATTATCTCCACTAGTTTACTCACTAAACAACAGGACTAATTTGTTAACATTTTCTTTACAGAAGCCAGCAGAAGTCAAAGAGAAATAAAAAGAATGGAACAAAAGAAAAATTGAAAAAGAACAGTGAAATGACAAAATTAAATAAAAATTTTGCATTTCTTATTGTTGTTATCTTGTGTATTGTTGACCAAGACAACAAAGAAAACCATCGAAAAGCTGTTCACACAGAAAATGACAGATGCTACACATGATCAAACATAAGATAAAAAAACACTTCCAAGAAAAAATTTGTTCAATGCTGGACCAAATGAAATGCATGAGGATATTTACAATCTGAAATAAAATGCTTTGCTGAGCGCAGCCTGATACGACCGCAGAGGTCGAACCCTGAACAGTTGGGACAAATTTGGACACAATATTCAAGCTTGATACTGTCTGAATTTGGATTGTAATCAAATTTTTGACATAATATAGGTTTCTGACACAAAATAAATGTGTCCAAAGATCTTATAAATCCATTGCGCAATACTGTGCAATTGAAGATTTCTTCTTGAAACTTTTCAAAAATTCGAAATTTTAAAAATGTTGATAAAAAATATGAATCCCTTAAAACAAATTGTGAAAAAAAATCCCCCCCCCCCCAACTTTTTGAAACCCCCTTTGGAGCAATAACCCCAAAACTCAATCCCAGCCTTTCCTTTGTAGTATGGAACCTTGTAGTACAATTTCAGAGAGATCCATACACTTAAACACAAGTTATTGTCTGGAAACTAGAAAAATGCTTGTTTTTGGCCGCTAATTCCTACATGTTTGAGGCAATTAACCCCAAACTCAATCCCAGCTTTCCCTTTGTTATATGGAACCTTATGGTACAATGTCAGAGAGATCCATACTTACACACAAGTTATTGTCTGGAAACTAGAAAAATGCTTGTTTTTGGCCCTTAATTCCTAAACTGTTGGCCCTATAACCCCTAAAATGAATCTCAACCTTCTACTTGTGGTATTAAACATTGTGGTACAATTTCAGAGCAATCGAAATACTTATACACAAGTTATTATCCTGAAACTAGAAAAATGCTTGTTTTGGGCCCCTAATTCATAAACGGTTGGGACCATCATCCCCAAAATCAATCCCAACCTTCCTTTTGTGGTATTGAACCTTCTTAAAAAATTTCATAAAGATCCATTCACTTAAACTAAAGTTATTGTCCGAAAACCAATGTGTCTTCGGACGACGACGCAGACGACGACGACATCATACCATTATACGATCCCAAAAAATTGTTTGTGGTCGTATACAAATTAATACCTCTATGTAAGTTAACAAATTATGCGGTATGGGCTTTGTTCATTGTTGAAGGCTGTACGGTGACCTATAGTTGTAATTATTTCTGTGTCATTTGGTCTCTTGTGGAGAGTTGTTTTATTGGCAATCATACCACATCTTCTATTTCATATGTGTTCAGTGCAAAATACAAAAAAAAATGGACAATTCAATAAAATTGATATCTAAGACAGGAAATATTGGGGTTTGTCAATGAGACATCAACCCGACAAAAATAGACAAAATATATGTAGAGTAAGCCGGCATCAACAGCATGCAGACAAATGTAAAAGGAGATGTGGGGTAAAGATCAGTATGTGGATCCAGGATTTTGAATCTAGATAAAGTGATCCCCCCACTCCACTTTCTTTGAGATATTATTGTGTCTGGGAGACACAATAGATGCCCCCGTTGATGCAAAGTGTTATTTTAAAATAACTATAACATTTAACCGCTTATACCCCAAAAATGACAAAGTTCAACTATCTCCAAAAAGAGCAAATATTAATAAAAATCAAAACCCTAACCACATACACATCTTCAATATATGTACAAACAGACAGCAAAGTGAAAACTTCTTAGGATTCTAACTGTAGGAGGAGTTGTGCTGAATAACTATATACCCGTAATGGGACGGACGGACAGACCGGGATAAAATAATATGCCCCCCAACTTTCAGTTGCGGGGGCATAAAAAGGGGTCATCAGGCCCCAAACTAGACAAAGTTTTGAGAGTAATAAAAAAATCTGGATTAACCATAAATGTAGCTTCATAAGGGCCATAAAGGGGGACCCAGGCACCCCACTCCTAAATATGTCTCTGATATTAAACATTGTTTATATGTTTCTGAATATTTTATAAAAAGACTTGAAAGATTATGTTAGAAAACATTTTTATAATGATATTTCGTAAAAAATTTAAATGAATTTTTAATGATTTTTTGAGAATATGAAGATTATTAAAACATTTTGTTAAAAAAAATATTTTTTGAACTTTTTCAAAACATTTTATCCTGCAGAACTGAATTTTTATATGTTCTAAAAATGATTCAGGGATATTTGATTAACAAACACATTCAAATCATTTATAAGACATTTTACAAACATTGTCGTCAAAATTCAGTAACATTTTAAAAGTATCATGAAAATCATGAAAATGTTTTGAAAATATTTTTAACGCCATACATTTTTGCATAATTTTTTATATTTTTCTACAATATTTTTTTTACATTTATCTATTTTTTTTTGGTGCTAACTGGGAAAGCAGTGGTGAAACAGCACCACATTAGAACAAATAATAAAATCAATTGCATGTAAATCCATTTCATCTTTTATATAGATATGGGAAGATGTGGTATGAGTGCCAATGAGACAACTCTCCATCCAAGTTACAATTTATAAAAGTAAACTATTATAGGTCAAGGTACGGCCTTCAACACGGAGCATTGGCTCACACCGAACAGCAAGCTATAAAGGGCCCCAAAAAAAATACTAGTCTAAAACCATTCAAACGGTCCAACGGTCTAATCTTTATAAAACGAGAAACGAGAAACACATATGAACTACATAAACAGACGACAACTACTGTAATCAGATTCCTGACTTATGACAGGTGCAAACATTTGCAGCGGATTAAACGTTTTAATGGTACCAAACCTTCTCCCTTTTCTGAAACAATAGTATAACATCACAACATAGAAAAACACACTATAAAATATCAATTGGAAGGCTTAACTCATTCAAAAAACGTAAATTAACACACAATGAACGAATAAATTTGACCTGTGACACCTGAATGCAAATAAACAGTAATAAAAAATTAAAAGGGATAAATAATTGAAGACGGTCAAAAGTAAATAAACAGGTTTAAACAAAGTTATATGCATATTTATTTACAATGTATTTTTATGAAATTAGATTGATTGATTGTTGTTTGTTTTACGCCGCATTAGCACAGAAAGGCTATATCGCGGCGAGAGCTAATTCGAATATTATAACAATTTAAGGTATATTTTTAAAATCAGACAAAAGTTTGGCCTTACATTTGTGTTCTAACATACTCAAATTGTCTTAAAAATTAACTTCAGTTAAGGTGCATTGTTTTCATTCCCACCTACCCACTCGAGAGTCATTAAAACGTTAAATGTGAATTGCATTCCCCTTTTGAATGGTTTTCCATCATAAGAATAAAAATACAATTTGAAAGAATTAACTGCATTGTAAGGTTAGGACTTTGGATATGAAAATGAAAAAAAGTTCCCCTCAGTGAAGTGTACATTCATTGTAATTAACTTAGTGTTACCATTATCTTTTTAAATTCAGGGTTTTCTATTTGTCGTAATATATCTTGCAGTTCCTCTTCTGATTTTGCAGGAAACTTTACTATATTGATTGATTGATTGTTGTTTGCTTTACGCCGCATTAGCACAGAAAGGCTATATCGCGGCGAGAGCTAATTCGAATATTATAACAATTTAAGGTATATTTTTAAAATCAGACAAAAGGTCTTTCAATAAACTAAAATTCTAGACTAAAGCAAATTGATTATTTACAAATAAAAATCAACACTAAGATAACGTGATAAAAATTAAAATCGTTTTAAATATAACAACATTTTTATATTTTATAATATATTCCAATTTCTTTTAAGAATGAAACAATATTTGTAAATGGAATATTATTAAATAAATCATACATATTATTGACATTGAAATGCTTCTTCCGAATATCAGCAAAGTCAATACAATTGATTAAAACATGTTTAATAGTATACTTGCAGTTACAAGGTATACATTGTGGTTCTACTTCATTTTTTAAAAGATATTCGTGTGTTATTCTAGTATGACCAATACGACATCTAGAAATAACACACTGATCTTTTCTGCACATAAAATTATTGAAAGGTTTACATAAATTAGGTTTAATTTCATGTAATTTATTACCATCTTTTTTACTCCATTCATTTTTCAATATATCAAAAACATATTCTCTAATATTAGATTTAAAATCGGTATATGGTATATCACAGTTAGATAAAGAGTCACCCAGAGCATTCTTTGCCTCAAGGTCTACAGCTGTGTTTCCAAGGATTCCAACATGACTCGGCACCCATAGAAATAATATTTCTTTAAGAAGAATTTTTGAATTCCTCATTACATATAAAATTTTGAGAATTGTTGGGTTTTTAATTTTAGTATTTTGTAAAGCTTGTAAGCATGAAAGTGAATCAGAACATATAAAAAATTTGGATTTATCTGAAGAAGCAATAAATTTCAAAGCCAAAATTATTGCTTCTGCTTCAGCAGTAAAGATCGATGCATCAGATGGCAAGCGGAGAGTTGCAGCTCTGTCCCTGAAGACTGCAGCAGATGCAACTCTGTCACCATCTTTTGATCCATCAGTATAGACAGTTGAAAAATCTAAATAATTGGCTTTGATTTCAGCATAGTGTTGCTGAATTAAAAGAGGATTTGTTTTATTTTTATTGTGTTCACGGAGATCAAATATCTTTTTTGGTTTGGAAAGTTCCCATGGAGGACATTTGCAAGTTTCAACTTGAGCAACAGATTTTAAATCAAAAGAAGCTAAATGTGATTTTAAACGTATACCTAACGGAGGAATTTTATTTTCATGTTTTGCAAAAATATCTTCATAAATTGGATTAAAAACACAGCTGTAGGCAGGATTATCTGAGTAGGCTTTTAGTTTGACAGCATATTGAAGTCCAAGCTTCAAACGTCTGTTAGAGAGTGA